TTAGTATGAAAAAGTTTTAAGTTTGATCGGTTGTTGAATGGTTGTTATTTTAAATTAATAAATTAATAAAATTTAAATCATAAGCATCCTATGTTAATAGTCCAAGACTATGCAAAGATTCAGGAATTTTTACCGGTTCTTACTATTAAAAATTACAATTTTATTAGAGCAGCGTCACTGCTCGATATGGTCGCGAGGCTGTTTGCCCCCAAGGTGACGTCACGATACCTCTCCCCGCACCGCCGGCAGCCGGCTACGATACGAGGTAGCTCACCTTATTTACTTCCACCATGGGTACACCAAAAGAGCTTTCCAATGTTGCTAGCTACACCGATATGCCCTACCCAGGAGTCGCACCAACTACTGCAAGGCGAATTTCCCGCTGGCAATCACATTAAATGTTTACAGAAATTCAATCAGGGAATTTTTGGACTGTAATATGTATAAATTTAGTATTTCATACATGTTTACAATATCTGTAGGCCTTTTTATATTATTTAAGTGCATACCGGTATGGTTTATTTAGAGATCTAACTTTAATGGGACCAAATTAACGAGTTTGTTCAGTAGGCCTACTTCATGTTGCTAAACAGGATGACTTTGTTTGCCTCAGGCACGCAACGTTGAATACAAAGACCCCATTCAAGAAGAATGGGAGAAGTTTCAAAAAGAGATCAAGGAAGAAACGTCCGTCTCCACACAGATCATAGAAGACGATCAGGAGGAGGCTACAACAGAGAGGCAAATACAAGAGATAGACGAACAGCTGCGTAATTGGTCTAGGTATGTTCTTCTAACTTAAACATTGTGTTGCTTTCTCTCCCTATACATAGTATATGGGGAGAGTATTAAATACTCTTATAAATACTCTCTTATAAATTTTATAAGAGGAAATTATGAATGACTTCCAGTGACATATTTAACTATCTGCTGCCTCTAGGCAGCGAAGTTTGCTGCCCCCTCTCCCCTCCCCGCCCCTCGACCTCCGTTCATACAATCCATTGATTGGGGACAGGCATACCATCTGTGGTATCTCCAGGTGCTAAGGTAAATGCACCAGTAGCTGACAGTTTGAGTTTCTTTACATTATAATGTGGTCTCTTAAAAATATTTACACATGATTGCATTGTTAGAAGAACATATGTTTATTCCTGATTTGATTACAAAAAAATCTGTGAAATTTAGCACATACTCGCTGAATGGTGGTGGTTTGAAAGCAACCCTGTCTGTACACATCATATTTAGTCGATTCCCTTAATGAAACTGTTAAGAAGGTAAGTTTGGTTTTTTGTCATTTCGCAAAATTTCTTAAATATTATTAATGGTTAGGCTCATTATTTTTATCAATTATACCTTTGTTGACAATTTCATGATAAAATTGGGGTTTTAGGGGTTTTGGATTTAAAATTATATCAATGTCAGGCTTTGGTACACAAAAGCCATACAAGTTCCAATAGCTGACAGGGGATATTTGCTACTTGCACAATATTAAATTAGTTTTACCCATTGAAATTTGCATGCTTTTTATAATTTATGTAATCTCACATTTTTATAAAATGATTTTAATTTTTTAATTAATAAGCCAAATATATTTAAAAAATTTATATTTTTTTAAATATATATAAAATATATATATTTTTTAATGTAAATATTTTTATTTTAAAATATGTAAAATAAATTTTCTTAATAACGTTTTACATGATTTTATTTATAACTTAATTATTAAGTTAGATTTTATTCGTCTTATAAATTATAAAACCCTTAGGTTTAGCAGCTAGTACATTTATAGTTCCAGTGTCAGCTACTGGGACAACACATAGTCAGCTACTGGTACAAGCACTTTTTTCACTGTCAGCCACTGGAACACGTACAAAGGTTGAATTAAGTTCAAAAATGTTATAAAATATATTTTAAAACCCCTTTTTGTGTGACAAATTTGAAAACTACACTAAATTTAGAATCCCATAAAATCCGTAATATCTCTTTAGTTCCTATTTATTCAAAACCACGGATTATTAAGTGCGTATAGTTTCTTATACTGTCAGCTACTGGTGCGTTTACCTTATCCAATTTTTTTTTTATTTTGATTTTAAGTAGAGATTTTGTTCATAAAAACTTATAATAACAGAAAATTGGATTCTAAAAAAAACGGCTCTTTTGATTTTGATTCAAATTTGGTATGATATAGTCACTTTTAACTCTAAACAAAAGTGTACTGCCCCCATTGCTGTAAAAGTTACGGTTCAAAAGTTATTGAAACTTTGGTGATTTTCCCCATAAAATATCATAGTTGCTTCCACCGCTTAACTTACCCATGATAAGGGTTGTTAACCCATTTGCATCGGATGACGTACCAGTACGTCAAGTCAGTGATGTACAGTATCACGGCTGACGTACTGGTACGTCATTCATGAAATTTGAAAATTTGGTTTTTTCAAAAAATGAACCATTTATACTTACAATATATACATATAGGCTAATATTTAAATTTGTTCATCAAAATATCATTTTCCTTGAATGATTTCATATTTACGTAATATAGGCAGCTAACTATTTTTATCAAAAGTATGAAAAATAGTGAAAACGTGTCCTAAATAAATATACATATACATATAAAATATATAATTTTGTATACATTATATGTTTTTTTTCATTTTTCAGCTATAAAACAAAATAAAAAATAGTCTAATATTTTTTGTGGCAGGTATATATACCTATTTTTTAGAAATATATAAAATAGTGTAGAAATATTATAATCCTAAATACATATACATATACATAAAAAATTCAAAATAAAATAAAAATATTTATTTTATTATTATTTTCAGCCAGAAAATACTATAAATCATCATAAACAATAGTCAAAAGCATATATTTTTATTTTTAATGTTTCTGTGATACTGGGATTTTTGGTTAATAAATAAACCGGTGCAAATGGGTTAACAAGCTAACGGAAGGAATGTCGAATTGCCGATACCGGGAATTCTAAATTGTAAGGGACTGAGAGAGCAGTGGACGATTTAACTGACAGATGCAGCAACAGGTACAAAATTGTTGATGTAAGTCTATGTTGTACATAATAACCTTCCGTTCAGTGCAATCATTTACTGTACAACTAAATGCAAGTTTTATGCACTGCTTGGCTAACATAATTTAAACATAATGACATTGTCTAGTAAAACTCGTCTCCCTAGGCTACTTCAAAATCTACTTGTGGTAATTACCTGCTATGTATTGTATAGTTTGCAGCTCATTAGTTTGTGTCTAAGTCCAAGTCTGTTAAATGGTATACGGTATTGTATTTGTTAATTGTGTTGGATTTTTTCTTCGATAAAGTGACTGCAAATAACCAGTGGTTGAACATTCATTACAGTACTTTTGTCTACTGTCTTTTAGTATCTATGCATCGGTTTAATCACCTCTCATTTTACATTAAAACGAGTGATTAGAAAGTGTAATGATTTGTTCGACTTATAAGAGGGTAAACATTTACAGGGTTCTTGATCTGGAGAAGAAAAAGGAAACGGTCCAAGCTGTAGCAACGAAAGGTTCCAGCGAGAATGCGAGGGAAGATGCGTCAGATGATGAGGAAGATTTCGATGAGTTTTTAGATTGGAGAGCTAAAAAATCATTTAAATAAAATCTACATTGGATATGTTGGATTGTACATATATAACTGTAAATATGTAATAATGTATTTTGTATAATTAAACAGTTTTTACACTTATTTGGTTGGTGTTATAATTTGTTTCCTGTTTTGTAGTAGAACACGTTTTTCAACCATTGAACATTCAGAAGCAGTTTTTGTTGTCTTTTTCAGTAGGCCTTGGGAGGTATGAAAACTTTTTTGGGTACATAGGAGCTCACAAATATATTATTTGAAATAGAATATTTGTCTAACTGTAATTGTAATGGAAAATTAAAAATAAAGGTACAACGGTTTATATGAAAAGGAATGGAGTTAGACTTAGAAAGCTAGCTTACCTGAGACAATGAGAGTCTAGGGACACAATAAAAGAACATGAAACATAACAGTAACAATGGTATTTTAAGTAAACAGTTTTGTAGATAAGTGTAAAAATAAGTCTTGATGTAGGACTTCTTCAACAGGACGAAATTATCAGTGTATTATACTTTTAAGCTCTTTTATTGCGTATCTATTAGACCCTGGACTCTAATATATTTAGGTAAGCTAGCTGAACTCTATTCCTTTTTCAAAAAACCTCTTACTAGTCAATCAGCTTTCCTTTAGAAGATAAAGTTTCTAATCTTTGTGGACAGATGTACCTGTAGCTTTACATTCTATAGCTATCAATCATGTTAGACATTTGAGTCTATCATGTTTGAATATCTAGTAACTTTACCCAACCCTCTAAAACACAATTGTCTAAATAATTCATCAACAACAAACAGTTAAACCATTGATAGATTTAATGGCTGCAGGTTAAAAGACCTGACTATTTTGAACATGTTGAGGTGTATTATTGCTTTTACTACATGTTATGAGATTGTTTTGTCCCTATATTGAGTCTATTGATTTAGTAGGGGATTTTTTAAGTATCCGGTAAATGATCTTTTAAATCATTTTGTTTTTTGACCTAACTTCAAATGGTGTTTTCAAACATTACGGCCACTTGGGTATTATAGTGTTTTAGACAGTGACAGTGTCAGGGTTTTCCACTTCTTTAACTGATAGAAATGAAAAATTATTTCATATAACTGTTTGTTTTTTGCTGTAGATTTAAAGAATTACAATATTCTCTTAGGAGTTCTCATCCATTTTGAAGCATCGTGCAACTTGTAATATATTACAACTTATATACTATAAGTAAAAAGTTCAAGTTTGTAAGCTATCATTTTCAGTCAAACATTCTCAAATAAATTTAAACCGCAGTAGAAAAATGTTCAGCAATGAATTTTTAATTTTTGACATGCTCACACCTAAAACGACCACTTATCGTTATTTGTAGAGGTCTGATATTAGTTGGTGCATTTGTCATTTGACAGGTGGTGGAAGACAGACAACTGTTGCCAGTTTCATGAGGAATTTTTAACATGAATGCGGCATGGTTGGTTTTTGTAATACAGGTAAGCTTAAAAGTTACTATTAATAATAAATATACATAATCAGACAACGTATTGTCACTCTTGGCGCAAAAGTTGAGAAACCTTATTTACATAGCGAAAATGATAGGAATAGTTATTGTAAACTAACACAGTTCTGTAAAAAAAACTAAAGGAGAAAACAGAAGCACACTCTAACATCAAAATGTTTTTTTAATCAAACAAACTGGCTACAACTGGTTCATAACAGATGGAATGTCTACTTCTACGTTAATGTTTAAGTAAATTGAGAACATCATAGTGTGTGTATTTTGCAGGTTTTGGCCTCGATCTCTGAAACTTTGTGCTGGTGGTGGACAAGAGAGTCTCCAGGTAGGTATTTGCTCTTCAGTCACTAATGGAAATGTTATATTTAAATTAAAAGGAAATGCAAGTCGCTGATACAAATATTTTGTAGAGAGGAATGAGTTCAGCCACAGCCACCTCTAATACAAGGCGGCGGCGAGCGAAACGTGGCAACGTCACATCCGTGTCTTGATGCGCGGTTGTCTTACCATTACAGTGAATGGACGAGTCGCGTACCGACTTACATAATTGTGTTTCTACTACCCTAACCATTAGTAATGACATTGAGCTTGTTACTACAGCATGCCAGATAGATGAGATGTGCCTGGATGCAAGAATAATTACGAAAGCTCAATTAAAAATGAATAATACATACAGTGTTCTAAGATTCTAAGCGATCCACCGCGTCAGCAACAATGGCTTCCTGCTATTCTTCCATCAAATTAGACACCTTAAAACAATTCTCGTTTTTGTGTGAATCATTTTCACGAATATGAACTTAGATTTGAAGAAATGTAAGATTAAGACATTGATTCGTGTAAATATAGACGTGAGAAGTGATTTTTAGGTGAGAATGCCGTACTATTTCCTTATTTATTTGTCTATCTTATTGATAAAAGCTGCTGTTAAGTGATTAAAATAATGTTAAGGTTGGTTTGTCGGCTACTCATCACATAAATATAAATTCATAATTTATGTGATGAGTAGCCGACAAACCAACCTTAACATTGATAATGCCATCACGAAAAATACATACCGGAATTAATTGATTAAAATAACTTAAATAAATAGCACTTCAAAGAAATAAACCGGTGTTTCTGTTAAGTAGGCATACTAGTAAAAAATATGTAGCCTACTGCACCGTCTAACAATAAAAGCATCATAGTCTCTGACTCCAGTCTGAATGTTGATGTGAAAAAATTCTATTAATATTGTGGAAAGCCATTCCCTTGGCCATTACCAAGCCATTGGCTTGGATTCTGAAATCGTTTAAGAAATGGCAAACGTTTTGCTTAGTAACGATTCGAAGAAAATAAATTATTTAGTAAGTATGCCTTCAAAATGAAAATTTCAAATTTTGTTGTCACTAACTTATGATTTCCTCAGGTAGACTAAAACAATATTCCTATTGAAAATTGAAAATTAATTTTATTTGAACAAATTGTTAGATGCTAGTCTCTACAAATCCCAAAGTCTCTACAAATATATTGAAGTGGCAATAAGTTAGTCCTCCTACTGTATTACCATTCTTGGTATCGTAGCTATATTTTGTAAAATTTAAGCCCTGTCTGTCTAGTAGTTTTTAATATGTTGAATAACAGACATATAATTCAGACACCATGAGATTGTTATTTAATAGTATAGATTATCAAATTAACAAAGTAAATATGTAAAGTCCATCTATTTCCACATTCATCGTACTTACAATATGATAAATGCAACCAAAAAGTTATGTTTGTATCTTTAGTTTTAGACATATTGTGGTAGGTTGCAATTTTTCACTAAATAAACAACCTAGATTCTAATTTGTCTATTTTACTATATACCCTAAAATCCACTAAAATATGTAATTTAAATACTTTCATTCATTGATACAGAGCAGCAATACTCTCACTGATGTTTATAGCCTAGCACGAGTGCCGGACCCAGGCGGAATGTGAGTGCCAGTTCGAACGTCACGGCCTTGTATCAGAGGTGGCTGTGGTTCAGCCTGTCTATACTCCTTTTATCTATGCTATTAGCTTACCCGAGAAAGTTAAACACAAGACGGATATATTTTGTCATCATATAGGACTTCTTCAGAGAGAAGTGACACTCTCAATAATGTGTTGTGAGTTGTGACTTTTTAATGTGTATCTATTAGACCCTGGATTCTCTCAAGTAGCTAAACTCTAGCTAAACACTATCCCCTTGAAACAAATTTTTTAAATACCCCAGCTGCAGAAAATTTGTCTTATCGGATTCACACTAAAATATTTCCACACAAGACATATTTATTTCCCATTTATATTAGATTTCAGGAGTACTTCGGTATGTTGGTAGGGTGAAGGTAAAAAGTGTTTTTTTCTTACAACATTTTAATAATATAAGGTGAAATAAATAAATTTGGCAATTTTTAGCAACAGATCCATAAACAAGCAAACTAGAACTGTTCCTTAATTTTCATACAAATAACACGGAATTTTTTTTTCCATAACCAATAAACGTGTAAAAACTAAACAATATACTATTTTATTGGTTACTTTAAGCTCTTCAAAATGGTTTAGAGAGAAGTTTTGAAATTTTTATGTTTTGAGGTCCAAAAATTGGAAACCCCTATTCCTACAAAAAAAGCCATAAACCACTGTTCCTTTGGTCCGATTATGCTGGTTCACAAACTCATCCAAGTTAATACCAACCTACACCTTCAACCCAAATTCGACCAAAATTACTCGAGTTGTCGCATTTATATACATATATAGGTATATTAAAATATAAATAAGCCTATATACATTTGTAACAATTTGAGCGAATAGTGGTTTTGGCCTCTGGGGACATAAAAATGAAAATGTAAATCCGTCCCGGGCCTAGGTCTTACTGTTCCATGTCACATACAGAACATTAATATGTACTTCCTTATAGGGAAATTTGCTAAAATTTCAATGTATAATATTAGTATTTAAACTCTCATAATTTTTATAATTAATTATTACCATAATATAGGTGAAATTCTCACACTTTTTACAATATTTTGTTATTGCACCAAACAACCACAAGTGCGAGGCACTGTGCGGTCGCACCTTTTGCATGTGCTTGGCCGGCTCTGATCACACCCAGGGGCGGCTCCAGGGGGAGGCCCAGGCCTAACCAAAATGTTGGTAGATATTTCAAAATTATAAATAAATAAAGACATGTAAATAAAGGGAAAGCATTAAAACTCATTATTTTGCATTAACATTTTTTTTATTCTCCCCCTTTTGCGGGGAAGCCTCTCAAACCTCTCATCTACCGATCAAACTCCTTCATGATCCCTTGTCAGACCTCAAGGCTATTAAAAAGAAAAAGTCAGACCTACCCAAAAGATTATTCCTGGAGCCGCCCCTGAACACAACACTTTCAAATAAAAGTATACAATAGTTAGCAAATGATAAATTTATCTTATAGACTTGATTTGTTTGGTTATGTTTGCAACAGACTGAGCATGAACTATAAAACAGTAGAAGATTAATTTATGTTGAATGGTATTGAATTTAATTTTATGTATGGGGTATGGGTTACAACAGATTAAAATTTAATCAATTGATATAAAACCATTATTTCTAGTGATACAGCACTCCAAAATCAATGGAGAAAAGTTATTACAAATAGCACAAGAAGATTGGAACACCAAGATCACTTGGGTCAATGATTCGAAAAGTGGAAAAGGCCGTGTTTTCATGAGATGTTTTGAAAAAAATAAAAAAAACCAAGATAAAGTTAATAGTGGTTCATTTATTTTGTTATTGTTTGTTAAACACGGACTTCAATGGAAACCTTTGTCTGTGTTTGATGTGGATTCATGCAAGGGGCACATAACAAGATATGTTACATGTATCTCTTTAGAGGAAGAATCAACAAGACTCATTCAAGTAGAATATAAAGAAGAGGAGAAAAAAGAATGTTTACTGTTCGAATTACCGGAAAATGGCTTCCAAAACATTAAAGTAACCGTAGAAGACACTGATGAGAAGTGTTTAGCTCAGAAATTTAAGTGGTTTTCTGTTAAGGTAAGTTAATATTACATTATAGCTGATTATTTAATGCAAGGGTTACCCTGTAATTGGTAACTGTAATGTGATTTGGTTTAAAACTGAAACTGATACATATAGGGATTTTGCCCCAGCCATTTCTTAAACCTGAACAAAAGTAATAATTTATTTTAACAGAGACTTGAAATTATTCCATCCCCATCTGGTAACATAACGGATCCAGAAGGATAACAAGAGGTACTTAGGTATGGATTAAAATGATCCTCTCTAGGGGCATTTCCCGAAGGGTAAGGTTGCCCATATGTTGCTTGTTTATCGTTATAGATAGTTTGGGAGGCCAGGCAGAGTGAAGACAAAATAACAAATTCGGAATTGGTAGTGTTAGTGAAAATATAAACACTCAGTCAAATCCCAGTAGAGTGGGTCTCAATGTTTTTTTTGTCTGGGGATTCCCACCCTCAATCCCTCATCCTGCATATTTTCAAGACCCACATGTTAAATAATGTAAAATAATTATAATTATTTAGTTTGAAGCATTTTTATTTCATAATCTTGAAAATAATGAGACTTGTAAAGTCCTATTTATCAGAAACTAGATCTACATTGAATGCTGAAAAATTTGGATGCGTAAACAAAGCACATAATTTTCAAAAATAATCGTTCTGTATAGGCCCCCTTTACTGAGGGCCTCAAATGATCCCAGTCCGGACCTGAATCCACAATTTTGCTATGCAATTAGTTTGGACAGTCCCAAGTAGTGATCATTGAGCTTGATACAGGATGTCTTGTCTCTTAATTTGAAGATTTGAAGGTCGTCAACACAAATAATAAAATAGGTAGACCTTTTTTTATTTGGAATGCAATCCCGATTTACACGACTAAGATAAATATGCATCGGGGGGATGCAGCAAACCTGCACACTATTTTTATTTTAATTTTTAATTTTTTTCCTCTTATTCTTTTGTTTGAACATTTTCATTTATAAATATGTTTCAAGATTCAGGATTCAATCATGTGACTAGAAATTTGCGAAGTCTGTAATATACTACTATTAATATAGATTTTTAATATACTTATAGGAAAAATTTGTCAATCATCTAATGTACCACCGTGAATGCGAGGGAGTCTGTCTTGATTGCCCCAAAAGTGCCTTGACAAAATTTGAGGAAAATCATCCTACACTTAATTTGGTAAGCTTTATACAGTGGTATTTCTATGAATTTTACACTCTTAATGTAAGAATTTGCTAAATAATGCTTAAGAAGGTGTCTTAAACATTTATAATTAGCAACATGTTTGAAATTTTCAATTTTAAGATACCATCATTAACTAAACGAATTTGAATATTATTAAATACTGTGCTCTGGCTGATGACTGCAAAAGACAGAGGGAGGATCGTGGGAAGGTCTCCTCCGTGCCAAAGAAACCTAGGCCGAGAAAGCCCAGGGCTGTGGTAATTCTGATTAAACTCCTGGGGGGGGTCATCTTTCACTGAAGTCTTGGGTTAGCTTAAGACTAAGGCCAGGCCAGAGGGGACAAAAACCATCGTCAAGTCCATCAGATGTACCCAGAACCCAGTCCTCCTTGAGCTGGGAAAATCTGACGACCGAGCAGCTCTTGCTGCAAAGGTCAAAGAGGTAGTATAGGCTTCGGAGATCCGGGACCTTGACAAACTCTCGACGGAGGCTGAGGTCAGGGAGGCCATCATAAAGGCCAACCCTGATATCCAGAATACCGACTCCTTTAAGGTATGGCTCACACGACCAAACTATAGAGTGCAACGAATGGCGTTCGCTAAAATGCGAGACCAAGATGCCAGTAAGCTGCTGAATTTTGCATACCTGATATCGGATGGGTCAATGGCAGGTTCAGGCGGAGGGTGGTCGTACCGCAATGCTTTCGCTGCCTCGGGTTTGGTCACTCTTCCCAAAACTGTAAGAGACCCGATCGAAGGAAGAATTGCTTCCGTTGTGGTGGTTTGGGCCACAAAAGGAAAAACTGTGCAGCATTAGAGTGCTGTTTCGACTGTGCAGTAAAAGGCCAAAATGACGACTCATTAGGTCATATTCCTGGCTGCACTCACAATTAAACAGGCCAAGTGTCAAAAGTGAGGATTCTCCAGGGTGATTTTAAGAGGTCCAAGACGGCTGACTCTCTGTTAGACCAGCTGGTCCAGGAATTTGGCGCAGATATCCTTCAAATCAGCGAGCAGTACCGTGACAGAAACCCACTTTTTATGTTCCCAGACTCTCTCGCTACTGCCGCTTGTTGGGTACAAAACAACTTGGAGGCACCAGTGAGGGATCACGGACGCGGCTGTAGGTTCGTATGGATGTAGGGACGTCACGTTTTTCAGTGTCTACCTTTCCCCTAATGAGCCCATACAGTAATTCCTTCTGAAGGTTGAGCGCCTAGAGGAAATTGTGCGTGTCACTGCTGGGCATGTCGTCATCGCTGGGGATTTTAATGCAAGTGCTGTTAAATGGGGAATGCCATCTACAAACTCCCGGGAGAAATACATCCTGGACATTGCCACCAGGGCCGGACTATTGCACAGTTTTGTTGTCTATTGCACAGTTACAAAATCTGGTCTACCCTTAAGTAGTGATGGGAACAATTGATTGAAAACAACCGATTCAATCGGATATGATTGAAACTGTCGGGGAAATAAATATGTGCACTCGAGTTTGAGCCTAAATTTCTCAGAGATGGGTTATCCGATTTTTTTGAAACAAAAACTAAATATAAGCTGGTTTAAATAAATTTTAGGTGGTAACAATTAAAAAAAATCCGTTAACCAGAAAAATTTATATACTTGAAAGATCCTAAATAGTACAGGTTTTTAAGAAACTCTGCACTAACACTGAAGTTTAAAATTTAATTGTAAACAAACCACAGAGCCAATCTTTCTGAAATTTTTATGGCTAATTGGTAGGTTTATTATTAAAATTTCCATGCATTTTACAATTTTTACTCACAATAGTTTTTATGCTGCTGTTAATTTTTAAAACGTATGCTTACATCGGTAATAAGACGCTAAACATTTCGTTCAAAATACCATCGTGTTTGTAGTGACACAAGAAATAACAAAAATATGACAGATTTATAATGCGAACAAAGGTGTTTTCTAAACAGATTTATATTTGTAAACAAATATTTCTCCCGCGACTGGCAGCGGGTCGCCTGGTGTTTGTACGATATTTCCCAGCCGGGCGGGAGCGCGTGCGAATCTGCGAAGTTGCCGATGTCTACCTGGCCACCACACTGACATTGCATCGGTAGATGCACACACATTTTCAAATAGATGTTACCAGTGTAAAAATATAAGACGACCTGGTTAGCTTGGTTAGTCATCTCTCATAGCGACCATAGTTCAAGAAAGATGGAAGCTAATGTGTACATTCCATTACTCATCGGATATTCCAGCTTAAACGCAACACTTCCCGGAAAGGGTGATGACCGCTCAGATTTCTACTCTCAGTGCTTTATTTAAAAGTGGCAAATTAAAGAAACCATTAAATAAATACTGGTGGAAAATATTTACTTGGCATTTAACTGTTCTAATTTTTTAACAAGCTCATTCAACACAAAAGGAATTGGCTTTGTGCTCTTAATACAAAGTATATTTTTCCTACCACCATAGTTAACTTATTACTTATAATGTATTTGTTTTATGACTAGTTAATTAGAATATTTTGTTAGTAAATTGATGTAAATTTCAAACTAAATAATGATTTTCACAGTAGTTTGCCGCGAGTGAATACCGATGCAATGTCAGTGTGGTGGCCAGGTACACATCGGCAACTTCGCAGATTCGCACGCGCTCCCGCCCGGCTGGGAAATATCGTACAAACACCAGGCGACCCGCTGCCAGTCGCGGGAGAAATATTTGTTTACAAATATAAATCTGTTTAAAAACACCTTTGTTCGCATTATAAATCTGTCATATTGGTGTTATTTCTTGTGTCACGACAAACACGATGGTATTTTGAACGACATTTTTAGCGTCTTATTAACGATGTTAGCATACGTTTTAAAAATTAACAGCAGCAAAAACCATTGTGAGTAAAAATTTTTAAATGCATGGAAATGTTAACAATAAACCTACCAATAAGCCATAAGGATTTCAGAAAGATTGGCTCAGTGGTTTGTTTACAATTAAATTTTAAACTTCAGTGTTAGTGCAGAGTTTCTTAAAAACCTGTACTTTTTAGGATCTTTCAAGTATATAAATTTTTCTGGTAAACGGAAATTGTTACCACGTAAAATTTATTTAAACCAGCTTATATTTAATTTTTGTTTCCACAAAATCGGATAACCCATCTCTGAGAAATTTAGGCTCAAACTCGAGTGCACATATTTATTTCCCCGACTAGTAGTCACTTCATACTCCCGGTCCTACGGCAACTGGAACCAGTCAACCGTCAATAGTTGGAATAACTGGAAACAGTCAAACGTCGGTGATTGAAACTTCAGTAGACTCCCTCTTATCCAGACACCTTTTAAACAGACATTGGTTTAACCGGACTACACTTTTTGGCGGAAATGACATCGCTTTAACCAGAAAATTTTTATTAGCACATTGGTTTAACCGGACTAGATTGGCAGTAAGTGGGCAGTACTGAAATGACTGTTCTCGTGGGAAAGATTTGAGACCATTGATCAGGTGTCTAAATCCAACAGAAAAGAAACATAAACAAAATTGGATCTCAGAAGACCTGAAAAATGAAAAAAATAACTACTACAATTGGCCTTAAAACTTCGTGGAAACAAAAATCCTGCCTTGAAATACGAGTTGAAACAAAACAAACTGAAATATAGGGCAAAATTAGTCAGAGCTAAAACAAATTATTTTGAAAATAAAATACAAAAATCAGCCAATATACAAAAAACAGTATGGCAGATTATAAATTCTGAAGTTGGGAAAGGAAAGGGAACAAGAAATAAAAATATTACTTGGAAAGAGGGAAATTGTAGCTTAAGTGATCCCAGAACTATTGCTAACATGTTCAACAAATATTTTACAAATGTTGATCAGGATGTCAGAGGCAACCAATGTGAGAGCAAGATTGAAAATCAAAGTCTTATTGAAAATGAGCAATGTATTAAAAGAGGTTTTGATTTTAAATTTATTGATGCGGAGGAGGTGGAAAAAGTAATTAACTCTTTAAAAAACAAAAATTCTGTTGGACACGATGATGTCCCTATTAAAGTTATAAAGCATGCCAAAAAATGTCTGAGCCATATTTTAAGTCATTTAATAAATTCATCTTTTGTATCAGGAATTTTTCCAAATCAATTAAAAAAATCTAAAATAATACCAATTTATAAGAAAGACGACCTAGAAACTGTGTCAAATTACCGTCCTATTTCTCTCCTACCAGTAATATCAAAAATTTATGAAAAAATTGTCAACAGTCAGTTATTAAATTATTTAGAAGAATTTAAACTATTAAACAATCCTCAGCATGGATTTAGGCCTGGAAAATCTGTAATTACAGCAGCAGTGTCATTCATAAAATCTATAATTGAATCGGTTGATAAAGGGGAGTTCACAATTGGAATTTTCATGTACCTAACTAAGGCATTTGATAGTGTCAACCACACCCAACTGATAGATAAATTACTCATTTTAGGGGTTAAAAAAAAATCAATAAAATGGTTTCAGTAATACCTAAATAATCGTTGTCAGTTTGTAGAAATCACACATAATCATGATAACAGAATTACAACATTTTCTTCTGAAACTGAAAGGGTTAAATGTGGGGTACCCCAGGGGTCAATCCTTGCCCCCCTGTTGTTTTTATGTTATATAAATGATGCTGGTGGTGCACTCTCATGTTTGCCTCAGAACAATCTTTGTTTTTATGCAGATGATACAAATCCCAAAGTATCGGCTGAGTCAGTGCAACAAGTTGAAATTTTAAGTTTTGTTGAATTGGCAAACATTGGAAACTTTCTAGAGCAAAATAAATTGAAGCTTAATCCCAAAAAAACTTTTTTTTAACTTTTAAAACAAATCAAAACAAAAAGTTAATTCAACCAAATATCATGTATAATGCAGAAGAAATTGAACATAAACACAGTACACAGTTTCTAGGTCTAGTTGTGGACCAAAATTTAAACTGGGATGAACATGTTGATAAACTCCTTTCAAAATTATGTTCAGGACTATATTCACTCTCTAGAA